CAACACCATGACAAATAACCGAACCATTTTTTTGGTTGGTACATTTCGAATAAGTAATACAAATCCCCTATGCTTTTAATATAAACACGCATAGGGGAGGGGCAAGAGACCTTAAAGCCATGACGACTACCCCCAGTGAACAACTTTATTATTTGACCAGTGAAGGTCTAAAATATAGATAAAAAAAGAATTGCTTAGTTCAAAAGAGCGTTTAATTATCCCCAAATCCTTCTTTGATGCTGCAGAGGTTCAATTCAGTTCAATAAAGAATAATTGCTAGGCAATATTTAGTGCCAATATAATGCTTAATTGAAACTATTTTGTTTTGGCAACAAGGAAGGAATATAGGAAGCAATATTCTGTATCTGACTGCGGTTAATCGCACTTAAAAATAACGTGTTTTTGATCATGATAGATTTGTCAGTGTCGGTTTTTTCAAGTGTTTCCTTGACTTGAACAACATATTCAACGTTAATTTATTAGATTAAATTAATTATGATATTTAACGGACATATTTGTCACTCTACTGCAGAAATGATTCCGAAATACTCAAAGTAGAAACATTCAAGGTCGACCGTATAATTAACACGCGATTCTGACTTTTACTCAAGGGTGGCTAGTAGCGAAGTAGTTGTATAGTTCGCTACTGTAGCGAACTACAATTTTCAAGTAGCCAGTAGTTTTTGACTACTATTTTAAAACAGTAGCTGTAGTTATAGCAAACTACAATTTGCCTAAAAGTAGCCAAGTTAGTTGACTAGTTTTCAAACAGCGAATCGCTACTTTTTAAAATTGTTAGCAACTTGATAGAATAGCATGATATTGCGACACGGTTTGCTGAAAATCAATACTCAATAGTCAATTTGCACTCCTGAACACTGTAGTGCTTACAAAAATGTTGCTTTGTGTTTACCGTTGCTACTCGTTAGTCGATTTGTTGTAGGTTATATTGCAGCCTGAGTTAGTATAGGCCTATATGCTCCAAATACAGTAAAACTAAAAAATATAGCGTAGCGAAATAGTAACTGACTTTGTTCAAAAGTAGCAGTAATTGTAGCTGACTACATATTTTTGAAGTAGCTGTAGTTATAGCGATCTACAAAAGTTTTGTAGTCAACCCACCCTTGCTTTTACTTTTTCTTCTCTCGCTGTACATTATTAACAAAAACTGTCGGAAATAAAAACATAATGTTGGAAATCATATACAATGTCATCGTATTCGATATTTAGTGCAGGTTCACAGTTAAATCGCGTTAATCTAAAGGCATACAGTGTTAACTGAGGGCGCGGTTTTAATCACATTTATTTAATAATTGAGTCAGTTTTTCCGATTGTTTTTCATTAGTATATGAATCCAGGCGATACAATCTAAAAGCAAGGGAAGGGATTTGATATCTTCCCAGGGAAAATTGGGGTTTGAATTTAACAAATATAAAACATTTTCCGTGTTGATATACAGTTATATCAACACGAGTGGAAATTGGGAAAACGAGAAATTGTGTGGAAACACGACGCCCGAAGGGCGGAGTGTTTTCACACAATTTCGAGTTTTCCCAACTTCCACGAGTGTTGATATAACTATATATCAATACGGAAAAATGTTTTATATTTGTTTTATAATATAGAAATGTCAAAAGCCCGAAGAATAAGAAAAATTTCCGTGTTACAAGCGGCGGAAAATTTCCCGTGTTGACATGGAGTTATATCAACACGGCTCTTAGCCAATCAGCGTTCAGAATTTACAAATGCTATATTATAAAAGTATATATACAGTATATACATAGAATACATATAACAATATAGATTAATTATATATTCAAAGCACATATCCATGCAGTTACAAACCTGGTATATAACCAGATATATATATATATATATATATATATATATATATATATATATATATATATATATATATATATATATATATATATATATATACCACAACTGACGTGATCGGTATATAAATACTCGATATAGTTAGTTACCTCTATTTTCTGAAGGACACAGATTAATTGCAAAATATTCTCATAGCATCATAAAACAAAATTACCAACCCACTATAACATATTAATTAAATGTAAATATATAGCAATGGCCAATGCCAATGTTTTCAAAAATATATTTAATTAGTCATTACTGTACTTTTCCGCACAACCAATGTTTCCAGCTTTCACGCTTCGTTCAACGGCCCATTCAAACCATGTGCCCATCGCCCAATTGGCGTGCTCACTTTCGTCAGGTTGCTGTAAAACACAGCGTTTTACAGCGCCCTGCTTTCGTATTGTGTGGTATTCTTGATTCTTTCCGTTTTTCAATCTCATCGTCACTAATAACACTTATACGGCCAGTTTCGCAATTCTGATTGTTGGGTACCGTGACTTGACGAAATGATGTTAGCTCAATTCAGCCTATTCTCTCAGTGCAGCATGACATAATTCACCGCCAAAGAAATCACGAAAGAAATCAAATCTGTCTACTTCTAAATTCTCTTCAACGATTGTATTTTGAGTGTACACAAGTCTTCATCACTCTCTCGCTTTTCCATGACTCAACTGATTTTCAATGCACCATCTTAACATTTGAATATGACAATAGAATCATGCTAACTAATGCTCTCTTTACAACAACAACAACAACAATACTTTCTACAGTATATCAATTATCATTGTCTTATCTAATGATTCTCTAAGGAAAATCTTCTAAATTATTAAATAAGTCAGTTATACAGGGTGTATCAAAAAACCTGCAAGCCCTTTGAAATACAATGTTTTTAGAATTTGCATGATTCAGAACTAATTGTCCCAAGCGTGCGTAAACATAATAATTGACGAATGCGCAGTCGAACTGATAATTAGTTTTCTGCAGTTCAATTAACTTTGTGTTATTCTAATTTCTATCAACGCGGTTAATTAGAATGTATTTTCAAATCCCAGGAGCAAAATAAGTATGACAGACACTGAAATGCTAGTAAATACGAATTATAAATTGATCGCGTCAAAGATCAGCATAATGAGGGCGGCTTTAATTATCAACATTTTGTTTAAATGTATAATGAAACCGTCATGACATAAAGCCTCCATCCTCAGTAGATAACTCTTACTTAACATCGTGGTTTGAAGGTGAATACGGACATTCGTTATTTGATTCCGATTTCCGTACCCACATTGGTTGTTGCTCTTTACCTTAAGATATAATTGAGAGTGGGGAAGGGGGTGGGAGAGGGGATTCAGTTCAACAAATACCGTGATTCTCTTCCCCAAATGTCCGAACTGTACTCATACGTGATCACACTGTTTTGCACATGAGTCGTCACGTATATTTGAACTATGCTTTGTTGTTATATGTATGAATCATTACCACATAATTATGGTCAACAAATCTTCTCATTACGTCATGGCCGACCTTAATTCTTTTTTAATTGGGTGCCTATATAAGGCTCACACGTACCATCAGATGGTTTTACGTATAGTTACAGTTACTATTCCTTATTGATATTAACATTACAATATTACATCTTTACGTAACTACCTTATAACACAAGTCTGAATATAATTTTCATCTCGGGAATATCCCGCGAGACAGGCTACGTGGGCGTCTCGCAGTTTAAATTGGGCTGTTTTAGCAAAATCGACGCGACGTCAATCAGGACGTGAAAATTATGGCATACATTATGGCATACACCTCGTGTTTACTTCCTGTTCGAATTTATGTGAAAATGCTTTTATCATTATACGGGCCGAATGTTTTCTGAAGATTTTGTATGAACATTCAACAACTTCTTTTTGAAAAACTGTTATATTTTGTTGTTTTTGAACAAATGAATTCAGTTTATCGCATCATTCGGACGAAAACGGCGATTCCATTTGATTTAATCGACTTTTTGAGCTGTTGGGATATTAATAGGCATACCGACTGTTTTTCACGCCGAAAAGTGTTTTTTATTTGTAGTCTAATGCCGTGTTCTTGTAACAAGGCAACTAAACTGATTGTTTCCATTTTTACTCGTTTAAATGCTCCAATTATTCTATGTTACTACTTTTTTCTTCATTTTAAAGTCTTGTTGTTGTAATTCAGTTTTTGTGTTTTGAAATGTTTCTTTTCGGGCAGAAATAGAAGCAATTTAGTTTTGTTGTTTTGTCATGGCGATAAAAGTACTCTGAAAAATCAATGCGTTCAAAATTCGGCGACAAATAAGCACATAAACTTGCCAATCAAAACAATATTCAGCTACAAATATTGAAGAATCAAACATAAATTTGTGACGTTCTAGACAGGACGTGAAAACATCCTAAATGCCGTCTTAATACAAGTTGAACGACGTTCAAGATTAAACCGGAAGTAAAATTCCCGCATGCCACGCCATTTTCACGTCCTCGTCGACGTTGCGTTGTGTTTGCTAAAGCTGCCTATTGATTACATTCTTACGCGAGACTAAATAGCAATCAATGTCAATTAACTTGTCCACGATGTCGTTGAGCTCAGAGAAATCAACCTTGTACACGTTTAGCAGATCAGTCGCTAGAGCTTCCATTTCTTCCACAAGTTTTGCCTTGGGATTCTTCGCATCAGGACCAGCTGCAATCGCAATGATTCGAATATTTCTCTTCTTCATTAACTCAGCATGTTTTCTGGCGATACTGAAGTCGTGTGCCTGACCGGCTGTGAATAGGATCAACACATCAAGAACGCCCGGTCTGTCTCCGTTACGTTTGTTGAAAATCTATAATAAAATATATATTTTATTCAGAGTTTCAGTCGAAGGCACAGTTTCCAGAGGATTTTGGTACCAAAAACTTAAAAAATCCAGAGATTCTTTCTTTTCTCAAAAAAGGCCCTTTCTTCGAAAAGAAGACTCAGGTAGCATTGTTAAAATAATCTGAATAAATGAACAGAGTAGATCCCATGCACCGAAAAATAACTGGATCCGATCAACATTATAAATACCTGATCTTTTTATTTTTACACGATCAAAATGATTATATGTACGAATTCACAACTATCTCTCTGTTAGAAAGGCTTTTATTCAATTACTAGGAAAAATCCCGAGGTCGTATTTCTGAAAATATCCTCAAAAATATCAATCACTTTAAAAATTTGAAGATCTTGGGGTAAAATATAAAGGTTGGCAATTTTGATTGATTGCTGTGTCTAGAAAATGCCGCAATAAAAGATCATAGAATTTCTTCATTAGTAACGAGAATTCACTTCCATTTCAATTTTTTACCAAGGAGCCTCCTTGTTAAGAACTTGGTGAATTTATATTTTTATGAGACTTTATATTTTTATGAGAACCCAGGAATTTTTTTTTAGGAATTCAGACGGTGAGGATTTCTTAAACCTGGCCAAAGGCCAGGAGAAAGGCTGGCGAAAATTGAGGTTTATCATGGTGTTAAAAATTAACGTTTATTATATATAATTACTTACATATTTGTTAACAAGTGTCAATGCAACACCGGTGTTAGTTTTTGATCCAGCGCGATACTTCATGTGCTTGATCGCTCCCCTCACTTGCTTGTTGCTATGCATTTCATTGAGGGCAAATTCATAACTGATTGACTTCATATCGCTGAACTGTAGTAATCCAACATGAGATGCATTCTCAGCGATGTCAAACTTTCGATGTCAGTCTTGTCAGGAATTTTTTAACCAATTTGAAATTTGGCGATGTGATACTTCGAGAGCCGTCCACAAGGAGGAATAGATCAACCGCACCCTGGGTACATTGAACAGGAGCTAAATTTAAAGAAAAATTTTCATGACTAAATTCTTACAGAATTGATCATTTCTCAGATAATTACCAATACTTTCTCTATTTGTCCTAGTTTCGGAGAGCACAATCTTTCCTTCAGAAAGAGTACATCCATTGGAAAAATAACGTCATTAGTGAGATATCAACTGCGGATTAATCAAAAGTAATAAAAGGTGTAGCAAACGATAGCTCTCATTCATGCGCTACCTTTGCTTTTGTACTTCTTCATACTTCAAAGCGTGGTATGTTTAATGCGCTTTAATAAAGGTGGGGGATTTTTGGTCTCAGTTTTTATTTCGTGCACAAACTTTGTAATTGATATCTGTTTTATGAAATGCATTGTATGCGACCGAAGCTTGACATGCATTCATGCATGCCCGCCGCCCCATACACCCCGTACTAAAATCATATGCAGTGTTTATGAAATAGCCTCCGTATTCTGGTATTTCATAGAGTTCCAACACCAAGTCCTAAATTGACTCAAGTCAGTAACGTAGTTAGGATTTCTAGTCGTAGGAGGGATCCAAGGAGAGGCTGAAGCAATATTACCTGTGCTAATTCGAATATAGATTTATAGTTTAATTGTTTATTAAATGGAAAGGTATTTGGGGGCATGCTGCCCGGAAAATATATTGAAAGCTAAAGTCGTTAGAGTGTCATTTTCACCAGTTTGGTGGCTAGTTTATCATGTGTTGGTGATTTTACAGCTCGGACGGGCAAACCGAGACCGCTTTTGCATATTTTTAATGCTTTCAAACTAACCAAAACCAATCGCCACTGGATTATTTTACGTGAAAACATCCTAAATGCCGTCTTAATACAAGTTGAACGACGTTCAAGATTAAACCGGAAGTAAAATTCCCACATGCCACGCCATTTTCACGTCCTCGTCGACGTTGCGTTGTGTTTGCTAAAGCTGCCTATTGATTACATTCTTACGCGAGACTAAATAGCAATCAATGTCAATTAACTTGTCCACGATGTCGTTGAGCTCAGAGAAATCAACCTTGTATACGTTTAGCAGATCAGTCGCTAGAGCTTCCATTTCTTCCACAAGTTTTGCCTTGGCATTCTTCGCATCAGGACCAGCTGCAATCGTAATGATTCGAATATTTCTCTTCTTCATTAACTCAGCATGTTTTCTGGCGATACTGAAGTCGTGTGCCTGACCGGCTGTGAATAGGATCAACACATCAAGAACGCCCGGTCTGTCTCCGTTACGTTTGTTGAAAATCTATAATAAAATATATATTTTATTCAGAGTTTCAGTCGAAGGCACAGTTTCCAGAGGATTTTGGTACCAAAAACTTAAAAAATCCAGAGATTCTTTCTTTTCTCAAAAAAGGCCCTTTCTTCGAAAAGAAGACTCAGGTAGCATTGTTAAAATAATCTGAATAAATGAACAGAGTAGATCCCATGCACCGAAAAATAACTGGATCCGATCAACATTATAAATACCTGATCTTTTTATTTTCACACGATCAAAATGATTATATGTACGAATTCACAACTATCTCTCTGTTAGAAAGGCTTTTATTCAATTACTAGGAAAAATCCCGAGGTCGTATTTCTGAAAATATCCTCAAAAATATCAATCACTTTAAAAATTTGAAGATCTTGGGGTAAAATATAAAGGTTGGCAATTTTGATTGATTGCTGTGTCTAGAAAATGCCGCAATAAAAGATCATAGAATTTCTTCATTAGTAACGAGAATTCACTTCCATTTCAATTTTTTACCAAGGAGCCTCCTTGTTAAGAACTTGGTGAATTTATATTTTTATGAGACTTTATATTTTTATGAGAACCCAGGAATTTTTGTTTAGGAATTCAGACGGTGAGGATTTCTTAAACCTGGCCAAAGGCCAGGAGAAAGGCTGGCGAAAATTGAGGTTTATCATGGTGTTAAAAATTAACGTTTATTATATATAATTACTTACATATTTGTTAACAAGTGTCAATGCAACACCGGTGTTAGTTTTTGACCCAGCGCGATACTTCATGTGCTTGATCGCTCCCCTCACTTGCTTGTTGCTATGCATTTCATTGAGGGCAAATTCATAACTGATTGACTTCATATCGCTGAACTGTAGTAATCCAACATGAGTTGCATTCTCAGCGATGTCAAACTTCGATGTCAGTCTTGTCAGGAATTTTTTAACCAATTTGAAATTTGGCGATGTGATACTTCGAGAGCCGTCCACAAGGAGGAATAGATCAACCGCACCCTGGGTACATTGAACAGGAGCTAAATTTAAAGAAAAATTTTCATGACTAAATTCTTACAGAATTGATCATTTCTCAGATAATTACCAATACTTTCTCTATTTGTCCTAGTTTCGGAGAGCACAATCTTTCCTTCAGAAAGAGTACATCCATTGGAAAAATAACGTCATTAGTGAGATATCAACTGCGGATTAATCAAAAGTAATAAAAGGTGTAGCAAACGATAGCTCTCATTCATGCGCTACCTTTGCTTTTGTACTTCTTCATACTTCAAAGCGTGGTATGTTTAATGCGCTTTAATAAAGGTGGGGGATTTTTGGTCTCAGTTTTTATTTCGTGCACAAACTTTGTAATTGATATCTGTTTTATGAAATGCATTGTATGCGACCGAAGCTTGACATGCATTCATGCATGCCCGCCGCCCCATACACCCCGTACTAAAATCATATGCAGTGTTTATGAAATAGCCTCCGTATTCTGGTATTTCATAGAGTTCCAACGCCAAGTCCTAAATTGACTCAAGTCAGTAACGTAGTCAGGATTTCTAGTCGTAGGAGGGATCCAAGGAGAGGCTGAAGCAATATTACCTGTGCTAATTCGAATATAGATTTATAGTTTAATTGTTTATTAAATGAAAAGGTATTTGGGGGCATGCTGCCCGGAAAATATATTGAAAGCTAAAGTCGTTAGAGTGTCATTTTCACCAGTTTCGTGGCTAGTTTATCATGTGTTGGTGATTTTACAGCTCGAACGGGCAAACCGAGACCGCTTTTGCATATTTTTAATGCTTTCAAACTAACCAAAACCAATCGCCACTGGGTTATTTTGACTAAACATTTTCCGGTTATGAACTTATGAGATAGCCATAGGTCTAAATTACCCGCTGTTGATTGGTTTTGGCTTAGTTTGAAAGCATTAAAAATATGCAAAAGCGGCCTCGGTTTGTCCGTTCGAGCTGTAAATAACCATTTAACTCATAACAACTCAGATCTGCAAAATCACAATCCAGTCCAGAACGTTTAAAACAAAGCATGCGCAAGATATAAAATTTACATTACAGAAAATGAAAATACAATTAGTCCATTCAATCTGTGACCAGAGGTCAAAGAAATTGCAATAGAATTTTTTTTCAGTGGTAAAGTGTGAGAAAAGTTGGTCTGATTAACATACTAAAAATAAAAAAAAATCCCTTCGGTGGAACATGGTGAAAATCGAGTTTTTCTTACTTCTACCTATAGAAAACCATTGTGGACAGAATGTTCAAATTTTGAAATCATTTTTAGGCAAATGTAACCTACATTATTGGAAAGCTTAAACAAAACTATATAAAGGTCAATTAAACCGTTATATTCAATTTACTAGTCACTTTGTCGTTATTCTAGCTCAAAGTTGGAAAAATAGCGCAAAATTTGCACAAAATACAAATTTATGGCATTTTAAATTTTGTATAACTTCGGCTGGATAGGCGAAAGCAAGGTAACCGTTTAATGATCTATATTTTAGTTTTTTCTAAGCTTTCCAATAATGTAGGTTACATTTGCCTAAAAATGATTTCAAAATTTCAACATTCTGTCCACAATGGTTTTCTACGTAGTTAGTCGCCGAAGGTGAGGTGATTACAAGCCTATATTCACTGAGCCGAAGGCGAAGTGAATATAGGCTTGTAATCACCGAGCCTGAGGCGACTAATTGTTTTAGTATAAATTTCCAGGTGTTTACAAACAATAATCCACACAACTTTATAAAAATTCACTTCAAATAAATTTATTTTCACTATAAATAGTTTGTTTACAAAATTTAAATCTCAGACACGGCTCTGTGTCGCGTTGCGACTAACCCAATTTTTTTCCAAATAAAAGCACGTAAAATTTAATATTTTACCTTGAAATATTTTTAAACCATATTTTGTAGCTTGTTTGGGGTTTTTCGGAATGCTATATTCTTTAATTTTGGCAATTTCCTCCTCTGTTACTACGGCAAAACGAGCAGCCATTTTGAAAAAAAAGCTATAGTCACTGATCAGTGACTATCACTTCAGAGACAGTGAATCTTGACCAATCAGAATGCAGAAAAATCAACAGTCACCTGGAAATTTATACTAAATGTTATTAGTGTTATTAGTGCTTCTAGTAACTCCAGACGAAGGGCCTTCGCTCGAAACGTCGAAATTCTCCTTAATTTTTCAGTCAGTTGCATCCCTACCAACGAAAGCTTGTTCATTTGATTGGCTGCTACACTGGCAAAGACAGTTCAAGATTAGTTTCATATTATTCTGACACAACAGATTACAACGAAATATTCGTTGTCTCGAGCGGGATTCGAACTCGCATCTTCGGGTTTCTAGACCGCCGCTCTACCCATTGATCTATCGAGTTAACGGGGATTTAAGTGCAAGGAATATTTCCCGGTGACTTAACGCTTGTCTTGGAGGACGCGCAGTGTTTCAATTCTACCAGAGATATGAAAAACTAATTTCAAATATGTCAAGCTATTAATATTATGCTACTATATTATTGAATACCACAACAATTTACTTATTTTAGCACCATGCCAGGAATAATTTTTACTGGAAAGAATTGGTCACATTCATTTCAGGCTTTCAGCGTACCTGTACGTAGAGACACCTGACTCACCCCCCCCCCCCATTTTCACTCGAAAAGGCTGTTTTTACCCCTCTTTTAGGTCAAAACTTCCCGAAAATTCGTCATTCTCCGTGAAGGTGGGGGCGGTCCCCCCCCCCGCCCCATCGAAATTTCCGCCACTGTTTCGGATTCAAAGCTAAGTCGCTTGAATAAAGATGGCGCAACGCATGTGTAACCATGACTAGTTGTAAATCTCCACTCGCAATTTGGCATCGAAATGGGGCGGTTAAGTTAGAACATTTTACAAAACTGAACTCGTAATGCCACACGTTTCCCAAATGGGCAACTATATAACCATGGGCCGGCAAATGTTCGAAAATTGGAAAAACATTGAAATCCTAATTGCGGAAAAGTGCGATTTCAACCGACCACTCAAATCAGATTGTATTTGGTCATTTTTAATCGCAATGATTCGACAAGGGTGCCTTTTGACAGCCAAAAGCCTGATGTTTATAAATACGAAAACAGAAGACCTATGGCTATAAGCGTAATAATGAACGCACGATAACACGTCAAAGTTGGATGACCATTTTTTATACACCCGGCAAAAATGTTGCATTCCCAATAAGTATGTCGTTCCAAACGTTTTTTTATACTAATACTAAATAAATGTACAGGGTGTATAAAAAAAGGTAATCGAACTTCAGCGCGTTATTGTATCTGAATTACTCTGCGTATCACATTCGGAAAGATCATGCTTTTAGCTGTTGAATGATATCTTCTTCATGCCAAATGGATAAAAAATGAGCAAATACGAAGCCGATAAAAAATGTTAGTCAGAATCGCATATTTTCACCGTTGAGAGTTGGGTCTAAAACCATTGAAAATGAACCCCCTTTGGTACTTAAGTTGATGAATTTCACTTCAATAAACGACGCACATATTCATAATTATTATTAAGTAGGAATAAATCTTAGCCATAAGCTACGACACCTTCGTAATTAATTGCTTTTTCTCAGTTTGTTATGCATTGTTTTAATTAGGCACAGAGGTGAAAATATGCGATTTTGACTAACATTTTTAATATATCGGCCTCGTACATGCTTATTTTTCCTCCACTTGGCATGAAAAGCATGTCATTCAATAGCTAAAAGCCTGACTTTCCGAATATGAAAACCAATTGTTCATACGCCGAATAATTCACGCAATAATAGCGCGCTGAAGTTCGATTATCTTTTTTTTATATATCCTGTATACTATATTAATAATTAATATCATTAATAATTCATGAGGGAAATACAAAAGAAATCACTGCCGTGTCGGTGGTTTTATATGTGATAAAAAAATCATGTCATTTACATAAACTTAATTTAGCTTTCATTTTCTCGGCTTGGACAATCTTTAGTTTTAAAGTCACTTCGCCAATGAACTTATCAGATGGGTCGTTTTTTAAGCTATTTATTTAAAATATATGTCTGATAAAGCACTCGGTCTCCTGCTCGTGTTTTAAATAGTACTTTAAACTGATATAAAATCTTGACTTCAATCAAACATTATGTCTCTGCGTCGCATATCATGCTAAGATCCTTTCAATGGCACTATAAATATTCTATCTAGCTATCTTAAAACATGCATGCACACATATGTAGTGGAACGCGTTTGTGCACGTGCCTACTATATAATATTTATTTTGGTGTTCCTTTAAATCAAAAATTTTAATCAAGCAATTAAACATTAATAAATTATTGGATACCGCTGTATTTAATATATAAAGAAAGAAAACACTCGGCGACAGAGCATTTGTAACCTCCGCTCCAAAAATCTGGAATGAATTACCTATATGTATATTAGAAATCTGCATAACTTTAGTATTTTCAAGAAATTAGTTTAAGACTTATTATTTTGAAGAATCCTTTAATGTAAATACTTCATGTAACATATAATCTATATAATCTTCTTTATATTTTTAGTTAGTAACCATTCAGCATAGAATAATTTTAGTGCAATTATGTTTTGTGATGCGCATTTGATCGTATACTATAACATGTTAATTTGCGCAATATAAATATTAAATATTATTATTATTATTATTATTATTATTATTATATACCGCATACGGCTGTGGCTTTAATTGTTCTGAGTTATTGATGCCTTTTATTAATAATTTATTAAATTTGAAGAGGAAAACGTTTTCAACGATTTCAACAGCTGAAAAGAATGCACATTACATAAAGAATAGTAATTATAAAATAACATGTACATAACGCGTATTCTGATTGGTCTAAACCCGTGTTTGGATCAGGCCATCCAAACACGGAAGACTATCGTGTTGTTGTTATTTTATAAAACAATTACTTTATGGTTTCCGTGTTTGGATGGAATGCTCCAAACACTTGGGAATGTTGCTCGAGTTAAGAAAAGCGGGCAGAATCACTCGCCTTCGGCTCGTGATTTCGCTCGCTTTTCTTAACCCTCGCAACATTCCCGCGTGTTTGGATCAGGCAGTGGCGTAGCAAACTCGATAATTGGGGGGGCACATATTCATATATTCGTGTTCTGCCTTATTAATTTCTTTTGAAATCAATTGTTTTTAAGGTCAGTGAACACAAATATATGAATATGTGCCCCCCCAATTATCGAGTTTGCTACGCCACTGATCAGGCCATCCAAACACGGAAACCATAAAGTAATTGTATAATGTTGTTTTGAAGTTACCTGCGCGGCCGGCGCCTGCATTGACCTGAATGAAACCGGAATACCGTATTTCAAAGAAAACAGACATACATGTCCGTTTCAAACAACGCTAACTGGTTATGAAATCCCACAAGTTCTCTGCCGGTATTGATTGTTATCTGCCTGGTATTATTTCACTTAATCTCCCGCTAGCAGCTTCCACGCTTTTTTATTTATCAAAATATCTTGACGACACAAAACTCGAAAACATTTAGGATAATTTCCAGGTGTTTGCGCGTCTTTATCTTATTATCTATAATTGATTTATAATTTACCTCAGATAAGAATGCCCGCGCGTTCTGTCGCTAATTCTCGCGTAAAGAAACGCAAAACAGCGCCAAAGGATCTATAAACTGCGCTTGTTTCTCGAATCTCAAAACGTAACCGTATTAAATTATAATTACTGCTAAATAGCACAGCAATGAATCCTTGCGAGTCTCAACGTATTCGAATGACAATTATGACATGTTAATTCTGCATGCGCGTCGGGATATATTTCGGACGGCTGAACATGTAGGCGAGAATTTAGAATGATGAAAGTATTCCTAAGTATCCGACTGTTCAATCATCATTTGAATTTGCCAAAAACCCACCAGTTTAATTTAGAAAATATATTTTAATTTGCAATAGACAAAGAAGACAAAATATGCTAGTACGCCTACATTATTTAATGACAGTTCAATTCAGTGGCTACAAGAGAAACACAAATAGTACGATTAAACAGTTCAATGCTTTGATATACATATTAACATATATTAATTAATTAATGGTTCCCATGCAGTCTCAGCTATATCAGAACGCGTCATTTGTATGCGCAATCGAAAATCCTTTCATTGTAACTGATTTGTTTGGGAACGAAACCTATTTCTGCGTCGTTTCCGAACATCGATTAAACTTGAGATATAATTCTGATAGATATATTACATTATGTCAACGACATTTAGCCACAGCATGGTTCCTTCTTTCTTTCTTTCTTTCTTTCTTTCTTTCTTTCTTTCTTTCTAGCTTTTGAATATAATAAAACCATTAGTGAATTCGGTTTTTGTATGATATCGCAGGAACTATCAAGGCCTCGGTTTTTGTTATCCACCTCAGCCTTCGGTGGATAATACAAACCTCTGCCTTGCTAATTCTCGTGATCATACTCAACCTCATTCAATAACTGTTTATTATTACCTTAGCAAATAAGTTAAAAAAGATTGAACATATAATTGCAGCTGACTACAACCAGACATATCAATATCAATATCAAGTACCCTATTCAGTGGCGATGTATAAAGTTAAAAAAAGTACGTAAACTATGCAAGTACTATCTGTAAAGTTAAAGTAACTATTTAACTATTTAAACACCGCGAATCGTTAAATATTTTGCTTCTGGAAAGGTACGTATATCTCTAACAATATTATACTTGCCTATTTTGTGTTAATTCATTTATCATTGTTATCGAACAAAAGCAACATCAGGTTGGAAAACATGCCAAGTACTATTTGCATGCCGAGCATTCTTTAAGGCCAAACAATGTCACTCTGTTCACTTGTTTAGGTCCTAATACCCGCAAGCTGATTAATTTAACTCACGGCATGCCTTGGGGGAAATAGCGATTTCTAAAGCAAATTTCGCGAAAATTAAACTTGTTACTCTATATCATGTCATAAGGACGTGTCATCCGTCGCCATGCACTAATATAAAATAAAGGACGTAAGTTGAGTGCAGTCGACATGACGACAAATAGCTCCCTATATATAGGCGTCAAGAAAAACCGACATTGATTTGAAGCGGAAAATCATTTACAATTTATGTTCCCGGTGGCCAAATATTTGGCAATTCAAGTGCCTTTCCCTTGGGATAAAAACTAAATATAGTTGAAAGCAATATTTAAACTTGCTGCCTAAGGGCCTTCTCTCAAAACGTCGAATATTTTTTCAGGTATTTGAATTTTTCTCAATATCCAGCTTTCTGGTGTTATTGTCAACTACCTATACTCTGGCACAAACCGTTTTCACTTTTTAAATTGTTTAGTAATTAACACAATTTATCTACACTTTCTGTTTCGTCTGTTGTCATCTTGACGACTTGACCTATAGATGGTAAGTTCAGCATGCTGTATTAATAACAATTGCGCACTGAACTAAAATATAGTGATTGTATATACTTTTGTCATATACGGAGAAGCGGCTAGACGTTTTATGTGAATGTCCTTGTTACTTGGAGAGATGTTATTCCTATCAGCAAATACACGAATTCAGCAGAGCGACTCGAGCTCTTTGTATACAATTTATGTTCAATACAGGTTTACCCGATACAAACTTTCCATAATACAAAAGGTTCAGGATTTTTTTTTATTTCCTATAAGATCGTTCTAAACCCCTTGCCACATGGGTTTGAAACTATGGCAAAGTATTAATGTGCATGCATTCTGAAAAATCTTGTGCGCGTGTAATAAATATAAATATTTCATTCGAAAACTTAATATTACAGTATAAATATTACAATACCGGTCTACATTTCACGAATTTGTCGCGGTACAAATCGTATCTACGTAGCATACGTGATGTATTAAAAGGTCAAGTTATAGAAAGCTCGACATTTTATAACGCAATGGTTTTGCGATAGGCAGAAAGAGTACAAGATTAATTAATATATGATAAATTGATCTAAATCCGTCGTGATATAATATACATAGATAGCGCTCTTTGTTGTTAGCGCAAGCATTTGCGTTAATTTTTAATTCTAGATTTTAAAGATTGAATTGAATATTAGCATGTGAAGATATATAGATTATCATGCTTTGGCATGCATGATGAGGTACTTTTCAAAAATGATCGATGATTGAAACTCAAAAGGAATGCTTAATGCGAGACGCAATGATGAAAACCTCGCAATAGACAACATTCTTTAGTAATTGTACAAAGTTCGCTCTTCTAGTTGTCAGCATAGGGATTTCGATTATAGGGTAAGAGGATTCCTTCCAGTTGCGAACTTGGACTATCTAAACGACTTTGGTACACCTTACTTAAATTAAATAGTACTCAGAAACAAAGTTGAAATGAAAGCGATTGGATTCGCGCAACTGGAACTGTTAATTAAAATATATGAGCTATGCGCATTATAAGTATTGTACTGTACAACAGTGGGCATATTATATAGCCAGGGGGATAATTAATAGTATATTAAATACGTTGTGCATTGGATCGTAATAGGCAATTTATTAGTAATTACAGTTGCACAATTACGTCCACGAGAAGTTTTATGACGGTACCTAACAATAGCGTGACTCCTTAATTGTCTCAACTAAACAACAGTTTATAACGCACCTTCCACAGCAATTGCTTGGTGAGCCACGGCCAAAATCACCAGGACTCCGAGGAACATTTTCCCGCTCTTAGTGTTTTCCCGCACCAACAAAGTTTTCAAAGCGTTTTGTTTACACAGGTCGTTGGACGAAATCTGTTTTCTAATCAACAGCGTAGGTCACAACTGTTTTACTCCGGACAGACGTCTCCGAGTTATAAACCCTGACAATTGCAGAAACGTGATATTTTAATAGGGTTCTTATTGGATTATTATGAATGCTGACATGTAACATAATCATGCCAAAAAACATACGGGTTCTAATGATCAAGCTGGGTGTATAATATAGATACACAGGTGAATGATTGATAAGTTAATGCGTCACAACAGAAAACTTACAACTATAAACCTTATAAGAAAACAGGAAAAAATGTTTTTGTATACCCTTTCAAATATATTTTTATCTTTTCTGTATCTTGGTGTTGACATAGCCGCCCTATCTGACGTCTCCGCGCTGACGTTGCTGAGAGAAATAGCGTGGTAGCTCGATTCCGTGGTTTTCTCTTGACGCATATCGTGACTTGTGCTTTCGATTGGCTAACTATTTTTGCAAGTGTTTGTTATATTTTATGCAAGATGAAGCTGTTCTGAGTGTTTATGTGTGTATTGGTTGCGCACCAATAAGTCTCGTGTGATTTTAGCCACAATAAAATTTTTATGAAGCAAACTTTAGAGCGCAACTGTATAGCGTGAGCGCGGTGAGTGTATATTCGCAAATTATTCTTAGAAAACCATGACCATATTCCTATTTATCCATTTTACTGCCTCATTGGCAAGGTGTGAAAATACAAATAGGATTATACTATAGTCATCATAAAGCAATCCTGTGAAAGATGAATTTAATAGAATTTCAATAGGAACCATATTCTGACAAGCGGACGGGGGGGGGGGAGGTTCATGCACGGAGATGGTGTAATTTTGGGATTAAACGAGTATCAGTAAAAATACTAACAATTGTGATTTTCAATTTGAATTGACTTCTGCTGGTTATGCCCATTCAGATCATAGAAATTGAGAGGTTTTGTGATTCTAATTATCATGTATCCTTAAGGGGGAACACTAATATTTTCATTTATCTCACTTTCACTTTAAATTACATAAACCAATCTTGAAACACAAGAAAATTCTAGAAATCAAACTATTTGTTTAATATAGTTTAAAAATAACATTATCAAAATAGGAATTTGCAAACCAAATAAAACTCAATAACAGCTTCCGGCTTGACGGTTTATTTACCCAATAGATAAATTAAGAAACCGAATCATGACCCTGACCCTTTAACACTACCTTGAGTTGCTTATAGTAAAACGCTTTCAAACACATACTTGGAAAGCCTAAAACAAACTCCTCCCTACCTGCGTGTAACGCTTCCCCTTTCTGGAGCTGCAAGTGAACAAAAAAAGGAAATGATGGCGGATATTATGATGACGGTTGCGCAGACCGCTAACTGAGGGGGGCATTGGGGGTATTCAATACCGTAATACCGCAAGCAAATTTTGTCAATTACCGCAGTTTTTGAGTTTTGCAAATACCGTGTACCGCAAGATTTCCAATATCGTAATACCGCAATTTTTTAAGGAAAATACCGAAATTAAGTACCGTAAGAAAAATAAGCTAATACCGCCATACCGTAAATCCCAATGTCCCCCTCCTAACTGGAAACGGCAACCAAACGGTAAACCAAATCCTATTTTGAGGTCAACTGTTATAGTTGGTCGAAGTTAGCGTAATTTGTGCATTAACATTGAACCATGAATTAACTACTAAGGTCAGTGTAGCTGTCGAAAACTTGCTGAACCTACCTTCAAATCGATTTGACGTTTTCAGTTAGCGGTATACAGCTATTTCAATCAAGGTTGTCCACGAGCAAAGCGGAAAAGTCGAATACGAGCCCGAAAGGCTGCTGCGGGGAATCGCTTTGAAAATTCATTAATTTGTTAGCGATTCCCAGCAGCCTTTCGCGCTCGTATTCGACTTTTCTGCTTTGCTCGTGGACAACCTTAATTGAAATAGCTGTATTACTATAATTATGCCGCGAACCCAGGTTTGGCGTCCATAGTCACTAGCTTTTTGACTACTGCAACATATATTCGTCAGTGGCCTAGCCAGCTCGAAAATTTGGTCATGCTATACAAATATTTTCGTGTTCATAAACCGTGAAAACAATCAATTTCTAAAGAAATGAATAATATGATGATTTGATACTTGCATAGCATGACCAAATTATCGGGCTGGCTACGCCACTGATATTCGTAGTATTAAAAAAATGCGTACAGTTTCATAGAAATGTTTGTTTGTTGTGAGGGTGATAAGGCCGGTGGATTGGGATCACGTTTCACGCAAACTGAAAAAATATTCAGATGTATGAGTAAAACTGACATTTAAATGACATTTCACCACAAAATTCCCTTATTTCACACTTCACGAGAACAAATCTTATTGGCAATTTTGCCAATTTATGGCTCGCGAAAATATACCCTTTCAAACCTCTGTTGGGAGTTCGTGGCATATTAGAAGAGGCATTTATAAACATACTTTTTGTTCATCTTGCATGCTAGCACAATAAAAGATATTTTTCAGAGAATTCAATAGTTTAAAACCATGACTGTTGATATTTTGCGAGTAGCCGCTACATGCATGCAGATTATCGCTGAATCGCTCATAGCGTGATCGGGAACAGCACAAAAACTATGATTTCTTTAGTTCCCTACTATATGTTCCGAGGCTATACTTGTCATGGGTACTTAGTACTTAATTTAATTATACTTACTAAGAATCAAATAAGTAAGTACTTAAATTAACAGAAAACTACAGATTCCCACCTTATACTTAGCTGATTGATCGCAGCCGAAAGCACGCGCAATCAGCTATGATAAGATATGGGCGTTTGCATAATTCTATCAGTTACCGAATGAGCTTATGAACACTTGCCCAAAATATGTTCATAATTCATCAGCTGCGTTGGTTTGGAAGAAGCGCAGATGAGAATTACTCTACTCACTAAGCGTAAATGCGATTTACCGCGTAAGCCAGCTCAATTTATCACGACTATGGCGCACGAGAAACGTATATAATGAGCTTATAATAGAGAGCATTATTTTGAGCTTACCGCGCTCTGCGCCACCTTTGTGAGACCTCGTGTGAGACGATATTCCACAAGAAAACAAATTAATAAATTCCTATCAAAACCATAGTCTATTTTATACACAATATCGTGCGATAATCACCTACAAATATTTAACGATATCCGAGAACCTGAATTTTTTTTTTTGCAAAGTGGTGTCTGGATAAAATAATGCACGTTTATCTGCACACAGTTATTTGCTGTGACAGTTTGTGGTCAGGTGAACCCGACTATGACACATTAGTCAACGTTTCCTTAATTAATATGTAGATAAGTACCTGCATTAAAGTACTACGATTAAGTTTTTACGTCATAATATCTCAACGTGCATTGAAAGAAATTTTAAGTTCAAAGATACGGAGTGGGTTTCCGGAAGAAGCCAGAGAAAAATTAAAAAGCATTAGATTTTAACACGAGTATAGGACTACGAGATTCGTTGTTTGCACATGCTCGCGGTTCTACGCCAGTATACGCATGCACGTCATAATCTCGTATAGTAGATGCTTGTTTTACAACGTGACTTTTAAAAAAAAACCGTTGTCGATTTGGCAAAAGAAACGAGACTAATAAGTCGTAAGTACATCTGTACATGATGGCGTAAGAACGTAGCCTGGTTAATAACGAATCTCGTAGTCGTAATCGCAGTAAAATCTATAGCTTTCTATACAATTTTCAGAAAAGGGCTAGTTCAGTGGATACTGTATACGGTGGATAATAACTTACGTGACTATAATGGTTTTCGATGGAAATTTTGAACGACGCCACACCCAATGCAACCGAACATTACCGAACATAGTATTCAAACGAGACCAACAAGCATCCAGGACCAACATGTTGGCTTGCATTAAAGTGCATGTATAGTGACACCAGTGCTTCCACTTACAAGGATTTTTCCCTGCAGCAAGGAAATATTGGTCCTTGCAAGGAATTTACTGTACAAGGAAATAAAATTTACAAGGAAATGGCAAGGAAAAATACAAAAATTAAAGGAAATTGCAAGGATTTCTGTAATTTATACCAGTTACAAGTTTTAAACCAGTAAAAATCAACTTATATGAAGCATACGTCTAACAAAAGAGGTATACAGTAGAAGAATCTGAAAATGCCATTTCCGGCGATCTGGGGACTATAAATTTCAAAATTTGCCGTTCAGCGCCTTCTGCCATTTAACCCCGGCCCTCCACCATTATCAAGACCTTACGCCCCAGGATGAACATAAACATATATGCGGAGCAGGTACTTCCATGGAGGGAACTCTTAAAAGCTTGCCCAAATTTTGAGGCAATGTAATGATGATCGATTTCTCGTAGGGTCTATGATACATTTGCCTCAAATTTGCCTGAATTTTCTTGATTTTTTCCACCGTTTGGGTGGCAAGGAAATTTTTGGGGGAAAAAAGGAATTTTGGAGATTGTAAAAGGATTTTTGAACAAGCGGTTGTGGAAGCACTGAGTGACACTTTTGGCATTCACCCTGTTCTTCGCGTTGAAATACCGGCGAACTGAGACAGCGAGCCGTGAGCTCTTGAAGATTCAGCTACTACAACTCTATACTAGCCAGTGTACGTTTGCATGCTATCAAATTTGATTCTGCAATTTGGGATACAAGTGCTGCGAACAAATAATTTAAATAAGAAATTAATAATATTCACTGTTAAAAATGGGGATTGTTAGTTACGTATACTAATCAGTTCGTTTAATACGCTCCCGTTATTCTACAAATGGTCTAATAAGACACAAGTCTTATTATTCAAATTCCACTTCAATCTTCTACAACCTATCTACAAACAGGGACGCCGGAGGCAGAAGCAATGTGGAGAGGTTGTAAAACCCGGGAAGCCGAAATCTAGCTTTGAGTCTGTGTGCGTCAAATGTCACGCCACTGTTGAACTTAAAAACATGTTGTTGTTGACACTTTTGCAAACTGAGCTCATCGTCATTTAGTGTGTTGTTTTGTTTCGTTGGAAAAAGGTTTTCCTGGTTGGCAGCCCTGTAAAATATAATATTACTTCATCACTCCATCGACCGGCATCAACCTTAGTCACGTCTTTTCAATTTCTGTGAATATATTCATCAAACGCTATCACGAGAGCCCTATTTCGGGTAAACAAAGTAATAATCGTTCATGCTTTGTCCAGTTTTAATTTGTCGGAATATTGATTCGAGTATTATGATTTATTGCTTGGATAACAAACGAACCTGACTCAGTGATTTGGAGTCGAATTGACCAGACAACTGATAACCTCGGAATCTTGGAACTTTGCGCATTTTGATGGGATACAAAAGAAAATATTAATCTTTCGATTAAGGTGTGAAACAAAACTCCTTCGGCCGCCTTTAAGGTGTTCCGCCTCTCCTGTGAAGGCTATAATATTATCATTATCTGTGCATTTCAGTGGTGCTATATATACTATCTAATCTATTGATAATTT